TTGCTGAGACCGAAAGGCATGACTACAAACTCATAATGGCCGTAACGAGTCCTGAATGCGGTCTTAGCGATGTCTGACTTCTTAATCTTCAGTTGGTGGTAGCCTGACCGTAAGTCGATCTTCGAAAATACACAGGCTCCCCTCAACTGGTCGAATAAGTCGTCGATCCTGGGAAGCGGGTACTTATTCTTGATCGTCAACCGGTTGAGATCCCGGTAGTCGATACACATTCGCATAGATCCGTCCTTCTTCTTAACAAAGAGAACGGGTGCTCCCCACGGTGACACACTCGGTCGGATGAAACCGAGTCGTAACAGCTCCTGAATCTGAGTCTTAAGCTGCTGTAACTCTTTAGGCGCCATGCGATATGGGGCTTTGGACACTGGACCGGCCCCTGGGATAAGATCAATGGAAAACTCCACCTGACGGTTGGGCGGTCCTCTTGAAAGCTCGTCTGGAAAGACGTCAACGAACTCGCGAACGATAGGAACATCATGAGGTGTCCGCGCTCTCTGAGAATCCTCAACAAGGCCTACCAGGTAACCCTGGCAGTTGCCTCGTCGCAATAACTTAGTGGCTTTCGCCATCGATATAACATGAGGCAGTGAACGGTTCTTGAAGCCGAAGAAAGTAATCGACTCGTCTCCCGGAAGATAGAGAGTAATCTCCCGGTCATGGCATCTGATATCAGCATGATAGAAAGAAAGCCAATCCATCCCGAGAATAAGATCGAAATCCTTCATCTCGAGAACGAACGCGTCGGCGGTCAATACTCGGCCACCGATGGAAAGGCTAAGATCTGTGGCTTTGGCTGAGGTCACTATCTTTCGTCCCGAGGCTAGACTCACCTCGAGAGGATCGACAGCGGTAACTGCATGAACTTCGATGGCGTCGAGACACCGTCGTGAAATAAAGGTGTGCGTTGCTCCGGTATCGAATAAAGCGAACAAAGGAATATCATGAAGAACGATCATCCCGGACATGGTACCTGGTTGCTGTGCTGCCTCCGCCTGATCGACCGCGTATACCCTGGCCTGCTGCCTTCCTCTCTGCTGCTGCTGCTGCTGCTGCGGTCTCTGTGCCTGCTGTCGTGGCTGCTGCTGCTGTGGCTGCTGAGGCTGCTGCTGAAGCTTCTTCGGGCAACGACTCGCGAAGTGTCCCGGCTCCTGGCAAAAGTAACAGATGTTCTGTCCAGCACGACACTCTCCCCTGTGAAGTCGACCACAAGTCGGGCATGGTGGAATCTGTCTCTGTCGGGTCCTCCGGTCAGTCTGTGCACCCTTTGCCTTCCTCTTCTTCTCCTTTGCTGGCTGAGGAGCTGGTAAAGCTGGTGGAGTTGCAAATGGCTGAGCTGGGGCAGATGGCTGAGCACGATCACGAACGGCCTCCCTCCTAATGCTAGCGTCAACCTCCTGGGCGATAGAGACGGCTCGTGCATACGTCTGAGTCCCGTGTCCCACAATGTTATGACGGACTGCTGGGTAAAGTCCGTCAATGAACCGCTGAGCTCTCTGGGCCTCCGTGCGAACAAGATCCGGTGCGAAACCTGCAAGTCTTGTGAACTCACGCTCGTACTCATCGACAGTACGAGTGCCCTGTTGAAGCGCTAAGAACTGGCGCTCCATCTCTGCCCGATAGTATGAAGGGTAGTACGTGTCACGGACCAGATCCTTGAACATGTCCCATGTACAACCCACTTTTTCACCGGGACGCATGCTCCAGTAGGCGTTCCACCAGAGCCTCGCGTCACCAGTGAGCTGAAGTTGAGCGCAAACTACGCGATATCTATCAGGGCATTCCATAACTTCGAAGATAAACTCCAACCCCTGAATCCATTCATCGACGATACGGGGGTCGCCCTGACCTGAAAACCTCTCTGCGTGATAGTCGCGGAACTGAGCGACTATCGTAGCCTGGGTAGGACCCTGATGATCGGGCTCCCTACGTGGCGACATCTGAACATTGAGAAATTTAACATTACTGAATATGCGATAACATTACTGAATATTACTAGGCACACAGATCTCTTGACGAGTTGCCAAAATTAGCTGATAATTACTGACGTGAAACCTGAAGAAATCTAGAGTCACCTCAGAAGAATCCTAACGTCTAGAGTCATATCTGAATGCCTGAATTCTAGAGTCATGTCC